AATCTTTTGATTCTGAGAAAAGTCTAATGAAAGCAAATATATGAAAATTATTGCACCCAAAATTCCCTATATTTTATGAGCAAACCAGTTATTTTAACTAATGCTATTGTAACTAAGACTAGATTTATTGTTACTAAGATCTTGCCTTTTATTCTTTGTGTACCATTTCTATCTCTAACTTCCTGAAGCATCAAGTCACAGATTATACATATACTAAATGTTGCTACTAAACATATTTTTCTATTTACTTGACACTAAATTGTCATTTGGCACCTTGTGTATCAGGAAGATGAAATGTATATAAGAAAAAATTGCATGGAATGCAAGAATTAAAGAAAATCATTACTTTAGCTGCAGCTCAAAACCAGGCTCATTGTCAGAGTGTTTTGAGTTGGAGAGCTTTTAAGTTGAGGAGTTTTTCAAGTAAGAATTTATGCATTAAAATTAGTTCACATCATTTTCATAATGGGTACATGCAATTGATTGCCTGGAGAAAAGCCTTCTTACCTAAAGCTTTATTCAGATGAATAAACTTATTTTTAATATTGGTTTTGTTTTTATCCTAATTTGGTCAATCAATTCTACAGCTTTTTTCAAGTGTACAATGCAATAAAAAAGTGGAGTTTCTCATTCCAGAAAAAGGTGATAAATCATTATTTATTTTTGCTGAAATCTGAAATGATACAATTCAATCATTGTAGCAGTATTCTGGTGGAAATTAAACTTTCTTCCTCTGGTAAAAGTTTTATAAAAATATTCTATAAAATGAAATAAAATTAGATATAATTTCTATGTTTCTGTAAGCTTCTATCAAAGAGCAGAGTTTGAATTCCAGTTGGGTTTGTTATATTCTCTTACATGCAAATACCCTTGGGAATGGGATGAATCAATTTTCACCCCCAGTTATGGATTAAATAATGGATTTTGTAAAAAAAAAATCATTATTATTCTTAAAAAAAAAAAAAGTAAATGCAATATTCATTTGCAAAAGAAAGAAAAAAAGAATTATTCTTACAATTCAAAATGTGTTTCAGCTTTAAGTAACCCGCAAAGGGTTGATAAGCCATAAAAAACACATCAATCAATCAATCAATCAAAGGTATGAATCAATTTTTACCTAGATAAATAGTGGAATTTGTATCAGAGAAAAATCATTGTTATTCACAAAAAGAACTAAAAAAACAAATAAAAATTATTCTTACAATTCAAAATATTTTGGATTTTAATAACCCACAAAAGGTTGATAAACCATAAAAACAAATCAATTTTGTAAGCAGCGAGCATCGAATAAAATAAAACTTGAATATTTGCAGCTGCATTATTTTTATTGTTTTATTTAATGAGAAATTGTCAACCATTATTATTACTTTTGACTGATATTTACTTTCATTTTAGTTTTTTTTTAATTGCAATTTTTACTTTATTCAGGCTGTCAATTCTAAAAATGTGAGTTGACAGCAAGCATCAAAATGAAGAATAAGCTCTCAGCAAGATTCAAACTCACATTCCTTTTACTTCAAGGAAGCCTGCTTAATGCCCAGCTGCTTTAACTGCTAAGCTACAAGAACTTAATTGAGAAATGAAGTGGCTGGTTTTACAGATCAGATTTGGTTTTCTGTTATTGTCAAGTTTCATTTTTCACTGACAATAGTCATATACAGTAAATTATAGCAATTAGCATAAAAAAACAAAAAAAAACACAACAAATTTCATTTGTTTCTGATAAGTTTCCAAAGAAGAAATATAAAAAACAAAATATTTTTTGGTTCCTTTAACTTGCTCTTTTAAAGTGCACAAATATTTTTATCCAGCTATTAATAATAAATGAAAAGTTATAGTCTTACACTAAATGGTTTCAAATGGTAACTGTTATGAAAAAAGTTATCTCTACACAGCAGAAGAGAGATAGATCTACACTTTTGCCACAAGGAACAAAAATATTTTTAGGCTAAAATCTTCCCCTTAAGTCTAAGTAGGCATTTCAGATATGAAAGTGTTTGATTGCGTATTGGAAGCAGACAAACAAACTTTTACGAATTTGGCCAGATTTTCAATGGTTGAGCAAAGAATTTTTTGGTATCCCCTCATTCAGAAGTATTTTTTGTTCCTCTGCTCTTTTCTCACTGATTGTTAAATTTGTTATTAACCCTATCCTGACTCTTACACTGTACACTCTACTTGAAAAAAATGGAGAAGATGCCGCCATTCTTTTCAGTGTTATGCACATCAATGCTTACTTCATTATCTTTCATTTTGTAATCTTTACATAATTTCTTGAAGTCATGTAGTTGATTTTACAATATGTCAACCCTTGTTGAGCTATTTAATAAAAACATTTTTGTATGGGTCACTCAGTGAGGATCAAACTTCCTCATTATATAATGTACATATATAAACCAATCAGAAAAGATTTTGTTATTGTTAGTTGGTTCAGTATCTTAAATCCTCTCCAGAAAAAAAATTAATGAAGAGAAAGACTTAAAAATAAAAGTTTGTGTATTTGAGCCTTACAAGGTCTTCCAGAATTTCAGTCTGGTGTTGGACAAAGCTTAATAAATACTTATTTCAAAATTAAAAATATTTAATATTTATTTGGAACTGTCGACCAAACTAGTCTTGCTAATGATTACCTGACATCCAATCACTCTTCCTACATTTTCTTTAACAGGGATACATAGAGATTATATTCTTTTTCTTTCATACACCATGTCTCTTTAATACATGGACAATCCTGGCTCTCTCCAACTTCCTATATTTGTAGCTCTAAGCAATTTTTGTGCTTTTAATATACCTCCCAATCCACATTCTGCCATCCATTTATACAAGCTTTCTTAGGTAAGTTATTCAAAGTTTCATACTGACACTTTTTATGTGAGTATCAAATTCTGCAAGCCATCTTTCCTCATTATGACATTTTTACTATCTCTTTCTGATTTTCAGTATAAGTGTCTTTTGTTTTCATTTCCCTTAAAACTTCCTCATTGCTCACATGTTCCTTCCATAGTATTCTTAGCATTCTTCTGTAGAACTACATCTCATGTTTATTCTTCATCTGAGATGAATTTACTATCATATAGGAGGATATTCACATTACTTGTGTGTTAATTATTAATACAGCTCAGTATCATCTTAAATTCTCTGTTAAATATTTTTAGTTTTGAAATAAGTATTTATTAAGCTTCGTCCAACACAAGACTGAAATTCTGGAAGACCTTGTAAGGCTCAAATACACAAACTTTTATTTTTAAGTCTTTCTCTTCATTAATTTTTTTTCTGGAGAGGATTTAAGATACTGAACCAACTAACAATAACAAAATCTTTTCTGATTGGTTTATATATGTACATTATATGAATTTAGACCAATGGAATTTGAGGCCCTATTCAAAAGAGAAAATATTCTAAAATGCTAACTTATCTTCTGTGATTTATTTACTGACCAAAGTACATAGCACAAACTGACTTCTCTGCAAAAGATCTGTCAACATTCGCACAGAATCTATGCAGGGAAATCAGTTTCTGTGTGGATGTTGACACATCTTTTAGCAACCGTATATTTATTTTTAAAGTAAGAGAAAACCTGTTCTAAAGATGTTTGATTTAAGAGTTTCATTATTTACAAAGTGCTCACTGCTATCTCTCACCTGAGATATGTTATTTAACTTAGATATTGAACAAGACTGGGTATAATGTTCTTAGATTGTCCTTTTTTTTGTCACATTGCTTTTGTTTATTTATCTTAATTTTTTTTTTAAAGTTCTCTTGAAAATCTGTTGACCCCTTCTGATGAAAGAAATCTTAGTAGCAGTTGCACAATTTAGCAATCAGCTTTGCAAAGGTTGCTAGTTGAAGCCATAGAATGCAAATGGTAAAAGAAGGTTGTAAAAATTTCTTGAAGAAGAAGAAAATGCATAGAGAAGACACAGCAGCAGTGGCAGCAACAATGCTGATACTGTCAGTGCTACCACCGTGGCTGGCATCATCATTTATCTGGGCATGAAAATCAATAAGTAGTTGGAAGGAAAGTGGGGGCGTAGTAGCTGTGAAGACTGTAACTTTTCCACAATCAGCTACAAAATAGAGAGAAATGTGGATGGAGAGAAAGAGAGGTGGAGAGTAAGTGAAGTTGGGAGAGAACAAAGTGGAGAGAGATGGAGAAAGAGACGGAAAAAAAAGAGTGAGAGAGGTGGCAAGAGAGAGTGAGAGAGAGAGAAAGAAAAAAGAGATAAGAGAAAAATGTGAGACAGAGTAAGTGAGAATTGTGGAGGCTATACAGAGAAAGAGAGAAATGTAGAGGCCAGAGAGAGAGAGAGAGAGAGAAAGAAATATAGTGGCCATAAAGTAAGAGAGAAAGAAAAAAATGTGTTGGCTATAGAGAGAGAAAAATGCAGTGGCTGTAGGGAGAGAGAGATAAATGCAGTGGTCATAGAGAGAGAGAGAGAGAAAGAGAAATGTGGTGGCCATAGATAGTGACAGAGACAGAGAAATGTGGTGGCAGCACAGAGAGAGAGAGAAAAAAAATGTGGTCACAGCAGAGAGAGAGGGAGAAAGAATGTAGTGCCAGCAGAGAGAGAAAAAAATGGTGGCTGAAGATAGAGAAAGATGGAAAAATGTGGTAGCCACAGAGAGAGAGAGAGAAATGTGGTGGCCACAGAGAGAGAGAGAAAAAATGTGGTAGCTATGGAGAGAGAAAGAAATACAGTGGCCACAGTGAGAGAGAAATGTGATTGCCACAGAAAGTGAGAAATGTGGTGGCAACAGAGAGAGAGGAAATTAGGTGGTCAGAGAGAGAGAGAGAAATGTGGTGGCCACAGAGTGAGAGACAAATGTGATGGCCACAGAGAAAGAGAGAGAAAGAAATGTGGTGGCCACAGAGAGAGAAGGAAATGTCATGGCCATACAGAGAGAGACAAAAATGTGGCAGTCATGGAGGGAGAGAAATGCAGTGGCCACAGAGAGAGAAAGAAATGTGGTGGACACAGAGAGAGAGAGAGAGAAATGTGTTAGCCACAGAGAGAGAGAGAGAGAGAGAGAGAGAAATGTGGTAGCCACAGAGAGAGAGAGAGAGAAAGGTGGTAGCCACAGAGAGAGAGAGAGAAATGTGGTGGCCACACAGTGAGAGAGAAATGGGGTGGCCACACAGCGAGAGAGAAATGGGGTGGCCACACAGCGAGAGAGAAAAGGGGTGGCCACACAGTGTGTGAGAGAGAGAGAGAGAAATGGGGTGGCCACACAGTGTGTGAGAGAGAGAGAGAGAGAAATGGGGTGGCCACACAACGAGAGAGAGAGAGAGAAATGGGATGGACACACAGTGTTAGAGAGAGAGAAATGGGGTGGTCACACAATGTGAGAGTGAGAGAAATGGGGTGGCCACACAGTGTGAGAGAGAGATATAAAGAAATGGGGTGGCCACATAACAAGAGAGATGCAGACAGACAGAAATGGGGTGGCCACACAGCAAAAGAGAGAGAAATGGGGTGGCCACAAAGAGAGAGAGAGAAATGGGGTGGCTGCAGAGAAAGTAAGAGTAATAAAAATGTGATGCCAAAGAAAGAGAGAGAAAGAGAAAAAAATTGATGGCTGTAGAGAGAGAGAGAGAGAGAAAGAGGGAGAGAAAGAGTAATGTGATGATTGTAGTAGAAACTGAGAGATGGATAGTTATAGTAGTAATAAGAGACAAGAGGGAAGTGAAACATAATACTTATATTTAAAAGCTTTTAATGAGAAATACTTAGAGAATGGAACTTTTAATTCTATGATTAATTCAAGTTGGCACTTACACTCAATTTAGAAATATACCTGATACACTAATAATAAAGTTGGGGTTTGGGATGCAGAATTTTGGCCAAGTTGATCTGACATTCGAGGTAATGCTCTTGAAAGTTAGATCTGTATCCAAGTTATGGCTAAAATTATTTCAGGCATCAATGTTTCAAAATATTTCTCAGAATGAACAGATTCTTTTTGCTTCGAAAAAATTATCCCTAAAAAAAACACTTAGCTTTTGAATTCATTGCATAGTTATACTGAATGTTTTCTTAAAAAAAGCATTTTAAATCATCATTCTTTTCCTATCTTTCCACCAACTGGAGGATTGGTTTTCTCTGACAACTTATTTTGCTGTCATACATCACAAGTGTGTCACACACTGGTAATACTAGCAACCTCTTATGAGGAGAGTATGCCAAAAGGGAGATAAAGCAGGTGCCTGTCTTGGTCTCTTTCAGAATGACAGACTTTAGGAAATAATGAATATCTTTTTCTGACAGAATGATTATGGTTCACCTTTGCCAGATTATGGTCTTCATTTCTCAGACAGAGAATGATGATAGTTTATAGTAGCAAGAAAATTATAGTTATATATACAAATTTGGGGTGTTTTTTTTTCCTTTCCTTCTTCTACCTGCAACTCATTATCCAGTCACCAAAGTGGGGTTTTTTTAAAGTTTTGTTTTATTTTTCAGGTTTCCTTTACATTTTCTACTTCTATAAAATATTCAAGATCAGTTTTTTAAAAACATTTTTTCAAAAAGGTTGCTGAGAAACAATTTTTTAAAAGTTTTAATTAATGAAACCATATAATTTAAACTTGTTGAAAATAATCAATAACAATAGCACATTAAAAATTATTTCATTAGTGCATCTCTGAGCTTTTCATCATATTAATGATATTTTTATAGGTAAATAAGAAAAACAAAAGTAGCCAATGATAACCTTATCATGATTTTTAATGATAAAAGCTAGTTACAAACTTTGAAAAAATTGCCCCAATGACCATTAAAGATCAACTTTTATCAAAATCAGCCTTCTTTTATTAATTTACATCAGGTTTAATCATGTCTGTGTGTCCCCACCTTACAATAAAAAAAAGAAAATAGCATGTAATAAATGTTTACCAACATTTTATATATTATTAACAAACAGCATTTACAACATAAGTGCTAATATTTAATTTGATTAATTTTTAAAAGCATATTTTAATAGATATTTTATTTGTTTTTAATTCAATTTTTTTTAATTTCTATATATAAGTAAAATTTCTGTCCATAAAGATTATTGTTAAATTGTGTTTGTATAGAAAGAATTTACATCTGTCTTTATATTAGAAAACCTACAGAATTCATAATAAGCATTGTTGTAGCCTGCTATTTCACATTAGAAAATAGTCAAATGTAGCCAAAACATTTTATGGAATTATCTAAATAAGTCAAAATAAACTGTTTAATTAGATTTTCTTAAAACTGTATAGAATTATTTAAAATGGAAAAGTAGTAAGTTTGTTAAATTAATTTTTATTATTCTTATATAAACATTAGAAAATTATTCAAATCTTTCTCTCATGGTCAGCTCAATGTAGTTATGTCCAAAGTAGGAAATTCAATTGGACTTAATAAAAACAAATTTAGAAAATAGATGTTTATACAAAAATTTTACAGCAAATTTCTGTTTTGACAGAGGACAGAAAGTGCGAAATTGAAATCCAAAGAAGCAGTAGGACAGCAAAAGATGCCTTCCAAAAGATAAGAAAAATATTAAAAAACAAGAAAATCTTCTTAGAAACAAAGAAAAGTGTAATTAATTATTATGTAATATCAGTCCTTCTATATAGCAGTAAATTTTGGACAATATCATAAGAGATAAAGAAAAGACTTAAGGTAACAGAAATATGTTTCTGAGAATACCATGGACTGAACATGTAAGAAATGATAAAATTTTAAGAAAATGGAAAGAAAAAGGAAACTTATACTTGAAATCAGAAATATTTCTAGGGCACATAATGAGGGAAGAAGGTTTAGAAAATTTGACACTCATAGGACAAAAAAAAATTAAAATAGATAGAAATAGCAATTAGAGATTTACACAGCTTTGTCTTTTTGAAGAGTGTGTGATCTGAAGAGTTTGAAAATAACACTCGTCATATCTAGATTCCTCAATGATGTATGACAAACATTCAAAACTTTTTTGCCTTTTGTTATCTCTTCTAATATCTGTTCTGCCAACCATTTACACAAAATTATTAGGTAGGTTATGCACTGCTTTCTTCATTCCTTCTTGTCTTCAATATGTCCTGTGAAAATTTCCACATTGGTCAAATAATATCAGAATAATTTTTTATTCACTTAATATGCGCAGAAATTATAAAATTTCTTTCCAGATTTTTTAAAATTGAATTTCAAATTTAAATGATGAATATATATTCTAATATCTTCCTTAAATCTCATTTTGACAAATTCTGTAAATTACAATTTCACAAATGAAGTTTAAAAACCAAACAAGTTTGTCAATGCTATCTTTTTGCTGTTATCAACTTCTTGGTGCACTCATTTTTCAAAAGTTAAATGTATTCAATGAATTCATAAAGACTTAATACCTTGTTATTCACATGGCTACCTTCCAAACTTCCACTATATTTAATGCATTAGATTAATGAGTATTAGTGCTGTCAGTTTTTAACCCTCTAAGATTGGAAGCACCCAGAATTCATGGCTCCAAACCACTCTAGATAAGAACATATGCCAAAACGGCCATTAACAGAAACTAAATTCTATGTTTGGTCACAACTGACCAAAACAGAATTTACAGAACTCATATCCATTTGAAATTTTTTATCTCCCTAAATGCACAGAATAAATATGATTCTTATACTAGCTCTGTATGGGTCAAATTCTTTATTGTTTTTTATATATATATATATATATATATATATATATATATATATATATATATATATATATATATATATATATATATATATATCCTTTAAAATTATCAGGATATTTATATGATAAATATGAATGGTTAGAACATTTGCTTTCTGATCATGAGACTCAGATTTGAATCTCACTATGGTCAATTTGTCAGAAAGGAGACTTCCTGATGTTATCAAACTGAAGGGGAACGATCCCAGTGTGCGGCACCTTTAGAAAGTGCCTGAAAACCATACCACAGGTTGACCCAAGCCTTGTGAGTAAAATTGAGTAGACATAACACTTGGAGCCATGAATAGCTGTGCTAGCACAAAGTCACAAGTCATCATGACTGACGGTTTGTGTGTGCTGGTGTTCAGATTGTTATCATTCTAGATAACACGCTCTCTCCCAGAAATTGTAACTAAGGTCTGCTGATTATAGTTGCAGTATAAAACACAGGTTGGCTCTGTGGGTGTTGAACAAACACAAATGTGCCTGAGCGAGAGTCTGCAATAGGGATTGGCTAGCCACCCTAGTAGACGGGTATCCTCAAATACAAGTGGCCAGCTATTATATATATATATATATATATATATATATATATATATATAGGATTAATGTGAGTAAAAGTTTAACACTTAGCCAATATTCAATTTTTAATCTATTTTACTCTCTAAATCTCTTGTGCTCTTACCACTGTCTATTTCTTAATACTAATGTTAATACAAGGCCCAAGAGCTACTCAAGGTAGAGGATTAATGTGTAGCATTGTATGAGCATGAGAAAAGTGAAATTCATGAGGTTATGTATGAAAGATAATAGTTATCCATAAACTTGAAGAGATCAAGATTGTAGTGATTTAGAAAAACATCCTGCTGGAAGCCTGTTCCACAAAGCTGGCAGTTCTTGCAAAGCATGGTGGATCCCAGTTGCAAAGGTGTGTACATGAATTATTTCCTTTCTATTCTATGTTTGCATGTTCCTGTATATGCTTCTAACTGAGCATGCTTTTTTAATCTATGTCAGATTTTATGATGTGAGAATGTTTTTTTAAACAACCAATGTTGATATAATTTTCAGGATATTTATATGATAAATTTAACATGTGAATTTCAGCTTATAATATTTATATTTAGAAATACCATAACTCATTTGGTGGTTTGTGATTTTATTATGAAACAAGAGTTGTTTATCATTGTGTAAATAAACAGATATAATCGTATAGCTATTGATATTTGCTTCTTAATTTAAGATATATAAAGATTGCTATGAGTGAGAAGAAAGATATAACCTCAAAAGGAAAGCAAGATATTTAAAAGTGATTGAATTGTGGGAAGACATATTTGGAAATTGTGAAAAAGGTTGTATAAAGATCAAAGAACAAACTCCAGAAAAAGGAAAAACATTGGAAAGAACTAGAAAATATAGCTTTAAGTCGGTGCTGAAAATAAATGTGAGAATAATTAAAAGAGTAATAAGGAAGCAAAGTAGATTGAAGAGGAAGAAAAATAGGCAAACCAGCAAGAAATTATTTGAAGAAACTTGTGTTGCAAATTTTTAAAAAGAGAAAATAGATACAAAATATTAAGAACATTGACAAAAGACATGAAGGCACCAAAAGAAACACCTTTAAATAAAAATCACAAAGAAAAATATGTAAGTTCATCAAAAAAGTACATGAAAACTCACTTCTCAACAGTAGTTTTTAGTGATGAATGTAGAGCTACATTGGATGAACTTTTTGGCTGGGTTTGAGGTTGGGTCTTTTATATATTTAGAAGACAAAAAGTCAGGTGTAGTAATGCTTTGGAGTAGTATTTTAGGCAGCAAGATTATATGTTTCTTCAAAACTGATGATAATGCCAAAATAAATGCAGAAAAAATTAGACAAGATGTTTTTTGATTGATACATGAATCTTTAAACTGAAGTGTATGCAGAGTAACATACCTTCACATTCTGGAAAGCTGACTATTGCTCACCTTGTTAAAAACGTTTTTCCACAAAC